TAAGGAGAATCACAACTTTGATTTGAAGCAAAAACAAAAATTGAAAATCAGACAAGAATGTATTTAACAGCTTCAATGAGGGGAAAAAAAAACAATCCCATGAAGCATGATGTGAATATATATATATATATATATATATATATATATATCTCAGTAGTTTCTCACCAGGATTCACACTGTTAAACACGATTTTAAAAAGTAAGTTGAAATAATATGGGCTGATGATGGCTTCATCAAAAGCATATACCATTGATTAACAACCTCAATTTAAAATGAAATATTAAAAATCTATTTCCCTAATGAACCTGTCATGTTATATTTGAGTATGGTTGAGGGTTTTTTATTTTATATATTTGATACAAATGTAAGTTTTTACTGTCAGTTCTCAACTTTTGGTCTATTATATTGCCCAGTGCTACATTAATCACAGTCATATTGCCTTTGATATTGTCAACAAGGTAGATGGGAATGATTGCTCAGGACAAAATGATCTTGTTTTTAAAGGTTTGTACTGGGTAGCTTTACACTACAAAGAGGAACAGAGCAAAGCATTTCACTTTCTTTGTACTGTTTGAATTTATGTGGTGAGCTTATTTTGCATTTCAGATATGCCAGCCTGTACTTTTGCTGTGCTGTGGAGGACCAGGAAAATGAGTTGATAACTCTGGAAATCATCCACAGATATGTGGAGCTGCTGGACAAATATTTTGGCAGTGTGAGTGTCAAAATATTTAGTGTTTTTATATCAGCATTTGCTTTTTAACCTCAAGAAAAATTGCATCTCTCTCCAATTACTCGCCCTCATATTGATCCCTCGTACAAAAAATAAAAATCACCATAAAGTAGTGCTGCATGATTAATCGTAATTTAAATGTCTTCTTCTCTCGATTTATTAAGCATATAATTGTCTGTGATATTTGCCAGCTGGCAATTATTTATCCTGAAAATGTTTCATTTTAATTTTGCATTTACTTAATCTTACACTGGTAACAAGCCTCCAATAGCTTTAAAGGGGTCCTATTATGCTCTTTTACAAAGTCTTGATTTTGTTTTGGGGGTGTACTAGAACAGGCTCTCATACTAGGATGTTGGAAAAACACATTATTTTTCGCATATTTTACATTATTACAACACCTCTCTCCTCAGTCTGGCATGAACGGCTCGAATAGTTCCTGTATCAAATGAAGGCCCGCCTTCTGAAATACGAAATGTGCTGTGATTGGTTAGCTGGGCCAGTGTGTGTTGTGATTGGCAGCACTCGGCGCCTGAAATGTCATGCCCCTTACCATAGCCGCCTGCAAGCTTCAGTGTAAATATTGCATCAAAATCAAATCAATTTGAGCGCGATTTAAACCCGGATGATCGTAACCACTCTAAGTTCGTCTGCCTTGGGAAAGCTAGCATGTCTCCGACATAGTGATAACACTCATTGCCTTCTCTAGTGCAGCTCAACCAGATCTC